CAACCTGGGAATTGTTGCCTACAAAGTGGAGAGACAACAGTGGTTGTAAGAAGCGTCTAAGAGTGGAAAAGGCCATGGGCAGAGACAGAGCAGCACAGAAAGAGTCACTGAATAACCCAGCAGGGCCGGTGAATGGTGTTGAAAGCCAGGCTGGAAAGACATCACATCTTTCTTATATCTAAGCACAGCTGATGACACTGGGCTCAGGACCCAGCTCCATTTGCAGATTGGGAGGACACTGGGTGGCAGATGAACCAGAATGTAATATGGGAGAGTTGTGAAGCCACAGCAGCTGTCCAGGATGGGGCTCCTCGGGCAGGAACTGAGGTAGTGGCAGCTCTAAGCTGCGCAAGGCTGGCTGAGATGGGTGGTAGAATCTCTTAGACTTGGTGGCCCCTGGGATCTGCAGGAGTGATGTAGGGTGACCCCCAGTTCTGACCAGTAGGTGGCAGTGCTGGGGCTACACTGGCATCCCTCTGCACCCTGGCCTGTAGTGCTTTCACTCACAGCACAGCAGTGGGCACCTTTGGACAGGGGTGTGTCCAAGACCCCTGGCGGATGAATGAAACCTCAGATAGTACCAAACCCTAAACACACAATGTTTTCTTTACATGCATAACCATGGTAAAGTTTCACCTTTTCATGTACAGGCAGCACTTTATAGCTTCTCTCTGGCATGTTTCAATTCTGTAACTCTTGTGCTTTGGGGCCATTATTAAGTAAAATAAGGGTTACTTGAACACAGGTGGTGTGACACCACAGTGGTTGAGCTGATAACCTAGATGGCTCCTAAGTTACTTATGGGTGGGAAGTGTATGCAGTGTGTATAGTGTGAACAAAGGGATGATTCTTGTTCTGGGTAGGCCAGATAAAGATGGCATGAGATTTCATTACACGACAGGGAAAAACATGCGATGTAACACGCATGAGTTGTTTACTTCTGAAATATCCCACTTAAGATTTTTTTGGATCACATTTGTGTGAGCATAACTGAAAGGTGGAAGGTTAAGCTGGTTGATGGGTGGTAGTCAGTCCCTCAGTCACACGGGTCCCAGATGGGAGGTGGTATTCTCCAAGCACTGGGCTTCAGATCTGCACATCACTCTTGTAGCATCTCAGGGTTCAGTGTGTTCCCATATGGGGTCACATTTTCTCTAACTTACATCAACATAATGGTACTATTCCTGCTTGCACATTTAACCTTATAGATATTCCGGAATTTCAAATTTAAGTACAAATTTAAATTTGCTGGTCACTCTTGTTTTTAGAGAATTCTTGCTACTGCCAGGGAGAAATGTTCTACTGTAAAGTTCACACACCCGGAATGCAGCTTGTAGACAACTGAATTTCACAATATCCCATCTAAAATTTGTCCTTGTAGTCTTTCATAAATATCTCTGGCAGAACTCCCATGATTTAGAAGGCTTGCTATAATACCACTAATTGAATTGCAGCCCTTGTAAGTTAAGAGAGGTCAACGCATTAGTTCCCAGTAATGCAACTTGGTATGCTACTCAGTTCCAGGAAGAGCTTTTTTTTCTGCGATTTTCACTTCTTTCTAAGCAGTGCACAACAATTGTGTTGTTCAGTTCACAAACAAAATATTAAGTCATGAGTATTTTAAAAGCATGTTGCCCAATTACCTTAGGGGGGTTGTACATTTTAAATGAGTCTCATTATAACACTTTCAGACATGTATATAATGTGTGTTTATAATATATTCTGCAGCTATTTGGAATATTCTGTTTCTGTCTGTAAAGTCCACCTGATCCACGGTATCATTTAGTTCTGAAGTTTTCTCTTTGTTGATTTTTTTGGTCTAGATGATCTTATCTACTGATGAGAGTAGGGTATCGAAATGTCCACTACTATTGTAGATGGACCTATCCGTCCCTGTGTGTTCAGTACTATTTGTTTTATGAAATTGAGAGCACCAACATTTGGTGCATATGTGTTTATAATTGTTACATTTTCTTGATGGATTGTTCCCTTTATTAATATGTAGTCAGTCTTTTATCCCTTCTGAGGGATAGTCTGCTTTGTCAGATATGAATATAGCTACTCCTGCTTGCATTGGGATTCCATTTGCTTGGAATATGAAACTCAGGTTTTCTGCATGAATATTATGATGTCTGAATCCTAAAATTAAGTAAGTTTTATATCTACAAATTACATAGTGGCATATAATGATGGCTTGTCACTTTGGTACAGATATAGACAAGTCAAGGAAACTGACACAATCAAGATAACCTTAAATAATCTCAGTGTAAAAGGCACACATGCTCAAAGGGTACATGGACTTGTTAGAAGGCAGCCAGGTAAAACTGTCATACAATATGGTAACACAGTTGGGTGGGGTGCCAGGGGCCCTGTGGACGCACAGAAGTGCATTCATTCTAGGGCATCCAGGAAGGAATTCCCAGAGAAGGTAACACGTTGCAGTTGGTCTCAAAGAGTGATAAGGTGTTAGACAAAAAGGTGTGCAGACTTTTCTAAAACTGTTTTCTCCTTAAGTTCCCTACTTCATGGCATTGAGCCCTCCTTCCATTTATGCCATACTGCCTACTGCACTCAGTTTGTTAAGCACTGAGAGTTCGCACATCCTGGGCAACTCCTCACTTCTATGCCAGCTAGACACTGGTCACCCTAATTCACTGCCCCCCGCCAGTTGTGTACTGTGTTCCCAACTCGTCTTTCTTCATGCCAGTTTCTTGTCACCATCTTGAACTCATTACAGGGACTGCCCTGATCCTTGTCCCCACTGGAGATCATGAATCCATTAATTGGTCATAGACATAAGTGATGGTACCTCTTATTTTACAGATGGCACTGAAGCACAGGTACTGAAGATCATGTGACAGTACTGTTTAGAATTTAAGCCTCGCCCAGTGTCTTCTAGGGAACAATCTAAAACTACCCCACATTAACTGGAGTGCTTCTCTGCATGTCCTGAGACCTTAGGGTCCCCTCTACAGTTCCTCATGGGTTTAGAAAAGGTCTTACAGTGCCCTCTAGTGGTGCTGTCGATAATGCGCTACAAGCAAGGATCCTGCTTTTTATGTGTGTAATGCAAGTCATGTGACCATCATTACTACTTAATATACAGCCAGTCAGTGTCGTGAGCTGGACCTGAATGTTTGATTAAGCTGTGGTTCATTTCAGGATCCTGAAACACTAAAATCACCACAGTCCCCAGTTGGTGAAGGTGGACAGGAGACACTGAATATTGGACTGTTTTTGGAACTTGTTATGGACTTCTTATCCAGTCTGTGAAGAGATGACTCTGCTTGTATGGCTGGTTCAAATACAGCCACAGCTCCTCAGGCCCCTGATTTCCCCACAAGAGCATCGTACTGCAGAGGGTACATGGTAGCCCACTGGCCAGTCTTCTGATTAATAGGTTGGCTGCCAGGTGAAGTCATTATGGCCTCCCTGGTCCCAGGTGGAACCAGCCTTTCAGCCCTTTGCATAAGGCCAAATTCTGCACTTGAGAATGCTAGGTTTGAACCTCAGGGTCTTTCTACAACTTCCTCTTCCTCCTTCTCTCCTGCCATGAATACCGTCTTGGAGGTAATGGCCTTGATAGGTATCTGAAGACTGCAGGGTTTCCATTCGTTAGGGTCATGAGGTGGGATTGGAGTCAGGTGCTTGAGGTGCAAATTTCAGCTGTGCCCAGCTCTGTTTTTATTAGTTTAGTGAAGGGACAGCTGCAGGACCGCTGACACACAGCCCAAGTGTTCACTTGATTGCTACAAAGTGGGAATTGTGTATTGATCTTTTGGGTTTGCATGAGTACTCGGTGGCATGCTGCTTCTGAAGACCATAGTGCAGGGCTCAGCACACACTGAGGCCTCTGTAGTTGTCCTCCTTTGTTATTTATTTATTCACTAATTGTGTATTGAGAATAGGAGGACCGTGACATTTACGCTAGCCCGTGAAGGCTGGGCAGGTCTTGGCCTGATGAGAAAGGTTAAGGACAACTGGATTTTTACTTTGTGATGGGTGGGAAGGGTTTGGGCCCAGGTGTGTGGTGGGGGCAGGTATGGACACAGGTGTGGGGTGGGAAGGGTCTGGGCACGAGAGAGGAGGGAGGAAGATACAGTGTTTGTTTAATTTCCAGTTCTTGTGTCTGATACACCAGTCTTGTCCTCATATCTCTTCATTCTTTGACCACTTAGCATCTTTGAAAACTGTGTTTTCTTTGCAAAGCCTGTCCTCATCCTTCTGGTGCTGGGTCCGTTCTGCCCAGTGTCCCTGCAGCACCGTGCAGCGATCGACTTTCTTGGTACTTGGTACTTTACAGCCCACTTCAGACAGCAGGCAGCCCAGCGCATCTTGGCTGCATCACGACTCCCGGGAGTCTCAAACCATTTGCATGTTCACTGCTCTGCACATAACACAGGCTGGTGTCTTACTGTGATGATAAGAGAGTCCTTCCAGTTCAAGGAAAGGGAAGGTGCAATCCTTCTCCTTTTTTTTTTTGGCAGTACTGGAGTTTGAACTCAGAGCTCACGCTTGCTACGCAGGTGCTCTACCACTTGAGCCACTCTGCCTTCACTTTGCTTTTGTTTTTTGAGACAGGATCTCCCTATGTAACCAAGGCTGGCACATCCTGAGCCGCGGGGTTACAGGTGTGGACCATACACCTGGTGAGAGCACACAGTCTTCAATAATGCCTTCACACTTTCTTTCCAGCACTTTAAAAAGAAACTTCTACTGAAACAGAGCTCATTGAATTCAGTTGAAGGCCCACTCATAACTTACCTTTTTCTTTTTTAGGAACGTATATTTGCATTCTTCCCTTCAATGTATTATGAAATGAGTTGGTGAAGAGTAAAACTTAATTTAAAAGTAGTTTTAATTTAATCAGCCCTGTTAAGGGACTTGTCTTTTTTTTTTTTTTTTCTGTTAGCGATTGTTAGTCACAATTATTAGCCTCTAATGATAATGGCTCTTCTGTGGGGACAGTGACTAAACAGCTGCCTTGTTTTCTGCTGCAGGCAGTGGCCACGCTGGGTAGCCTGATGTGCAGAGCAGGTGTGGAAGTGGGACCTGTGTCCTCAGAGATGAAGGCCTGGAGCTGGGGCCGACAGACACAGATGTGTGGGGGGGTCTGAACCCCTGCCGAGAACATGACAACAGCCCAGGATGGCCAAGGGCAAGATGCAGCCGCCACCTGTTCAGCCTCTGACCTGAAGGACTCCAAAATGGTGACGTCCCCAGTGTGTCAGAATGGAGGGTACAGAAACAGCCCCAGTGGCGACAGCGAAGGCCCAGAGGCCAGGCTCAGCCCTTCCAAGCTTGTACGCCTTTTCTCTGTGAGTCGGAAGAGAATGAGTGTCAACCCTGAGAGGCCTCGCTCGGTGGTCCTAGTGGGGAATTCCTCCACCTGGACCGCCCTGGCCTCCTTCCGGAAGATGGGATCCTTTAAAAAGCTCAAGTCCTCTGTTTTGCAAGGAATTCAGAGCCGGGAGGGCTCAGGGGCCTCCAAGGAAGATGGACGGGAGCCTGAGGCTATCTCCAATGGTGCGGCCATGGGAGTCAATCCGAGCAGGTGCCTGTCCTCGGGGCAGGCGGGTGATGTCCCCGTCTTGGGGGAGGGGACTGTGTCCGACAGCTCGGACCCGGAGACCCTGAGGACGCTTTCCAGAGGAGCACGCACCGCTCCCGCAGCATCCGCAGAGCCTACGGCCCGGGCCGCATCAGCCTGCAGGACGTCGAGCCGGCCCCGGAGCCCGCTCCTTGTGCCGTCCTCCTGCAGGACCCGGGGGATACGGGCGCCCTGTGTAGGAGGAGCAAGAGCACGGACAGCCTGAACTTCCTGAAGAAAAGCTCCTTCAAGCGGAAGTCCACCTCCAACCTGGCCGAGGCCCGGGGACCCAGCGACAGCAACCCAGGCAGCTCCTCTGCGGACGCGGACAGAAGGACGAAGCGCTGGAGGAGCCCCGTGAGGGCCAAGGACTTGGACAGGCTCCTGAGGCTCGTCAGCAATGTGACAGATGCCGCCTGGCGGAGAGAGACCCCCCAGAGCGGGGCCCCGGGTGACGCGGGTGACACTGGTGGCACTGGCCAGCGGCCACGGCCGCACAGCCGGCTGCACGACGACTACTCGCGCCGCGTGTCCGCCTGCAGCAGTGGCTCCGAGCACGGGGCAGTGCGCCCTCCGCTGGCCTCCAGCCCTGCACCCTGCCCCGAGGACCAGGATGGGCTGCGCCAAGCCTGCCCGGACTCCAGCGCTGCCAGCCAGCTCCCCTGTGACCCTGGGCAGCCTCCCACCCCGCTGCGGCCCACCTCGCCCAAGCCGCGGAGCCCCCAGAGTCCTGGGCCCGGAAGTGCCGGGTGCCCCGCCAGCCTCAGCGCGCTGTCCCTGAGTTCAGCTGACAGTGAGGACAGGACAGAAGACTCTGCTCCCTCCCAGAACTCAGCGCAAACCCCAGAGGGTGATGAGGGCAGAGGTGATGGAGATGGTGGCAGCCACTCTCAGCTGAGCCCTGGGGTGGCCAGTCCAGAGGAGAAGGCAGAGGTAGGGTACAGGAGGGGTCCCTCCTGCAGGAGGCTGCTTGTCCAGTACATTGCACTGTCCTGGGTCCTCCGTGCTGCAGACCTTGGTTCTATGCTAATAGTCGCAGGGACCAGCAGAGAGGGAGTTGTCAGATGCAGCTTACCATATGCGGGAGTAATTTCCATCTCTTTAGAAACAAATGGCTAATATGTGGGGTTCCATGCACACCATTCACTGAAAAGGCATTTATTGAGCATCGACTGTTAGATTGGTGGGGATGGGGACTCCATGTGGCTATTAGGGCTCCTCAGATTTTTTACTTTGAAATAATTTTTATTAACTGTATCTTCTTTATATTTTAAACTTTCTGCATCCTTCCCAATAGAATCCTTATAAATGAAATTCTCTGTAGTGAGAGACCATAACATGTCTAGCTCTGTTTTATTTCCTAGGAATGCATTAGAAACACGCATTTTGGTACTGTCAGCCAGGAGCACTGCTTGTTTTTATAATAGCTATTGTACTTATTTTTAGAGTAGAACAAGTTCTCATGAATAGAGTCAGTTAATAACTGTACGTGCTACAAGGGTAATGTTCTTTTCACATCCTGTCAAACATCCAGACAGCTTGACTTTACTGTGTAATGCTCACTTTATAAATGTATTTATTACTGTCCCTTTACAGTTAACAGCTGAAGAACGGGGAGCATCCTTTCATATCTATTGCAAGTTATTGGTCACATCTATTCCTGGGCTGTTTTACAGGTGGGATTGGTACTTGCCTTGGAAAATGCTTCCTGAGCAACTGTTCCTTCCCCACCAATCCCTAGACGGACTTCAGTATTGTCTGAACGCCTGTGGGTAAATGATTACACAGCTAGTTTTGCAAGCTCAGAAGCCAGGACTACCTATGGACTATCTTTTTTGGTTTGTTTTTTTGTTTGGGACAGGGCCTTGCTGTGTAGCCTCAGTTTCCCAAGTGCTGAGATTACAAGCCTGTGTCTCCACACCTTTCCTTTTTGATATTTGCTATTCAGAGGCAGCTTTACTATAGAACCTTTGAGAAAGACCTAGAAAAAATGTAGAATTATCGCATATACTTTCAGGAGATCCAAATTAGCCCATAGGACCCTAGTGCTAGGGACTCTGGGTATTCAGAAAAGTGAGGCTGCTTCTCTCTGTGATTCTGAGTTAATAGAGGGACTTTTGTGTCTTGTAAGGCACAAAAGTAGCTACCAGTCTGGGAAGGCATTCCAGTTCTGCTGGCTCTGGTTTTTTAATTGTACAAACCTTTACTCATTCCTGGGAATATTAGTCAGCTTTTCACTGTTATAACAAAGTACCTGATACAGGCTGTTATGATGTACAGAAAGGTTTACTTTCACTAGGAGTGGTGGCACACACCTATTATCCCACCTCTCAGACGGTAGAGGCAGGGGAGTTGAGAGTTTAAGGCCAGCCTGAACTACATAGTGAGACTCTTGTCTCCAAAAAATAAGAATGAGAGAGGTTTATTTTGACTCCTGGTCTGGTGGTTCAGTTCCAGTATCAGGCAGCACCACATTAAGTGGATCTCTGAATAGAGAGTGGATGTCAGAGTGAGTGATCACATCCCTAGCCAGGAAACACAGACGGAGAACTTCAAGAGCATGCCCCAATGACCTGATGACCTCTGTCACTAGGCCCCACCACTTAAAGGCCCACGGCACCTCCCAGAACCACCACCCCAGGAATCAAGCTTTACACATGGACTTTGAAGGACACTCTGCGTCCAGATGATGCCTTCCTTCCCCAGACCCTCCAGCCTGCCCACTGATGTTTCAGAGCCCTTCCTCCCTAAGAAAGGCTTGGCATAAGCCTAGTTAAATATGGGGTTGTATTTTGCTTAACAAAATTAGTTAAAAGAATCATTAAGATATTAATATAAACTGAGTATGTGCAGACATTTGCATCAGTTACTTGCTGGGGTGATTTTGGCCATTCTGGTATAGTTTTATATCAGTATTTGCTATTCTTAGTTTTGTATACTCTCACATCTATTCACAACAGATCAGCAAAACAGACCAGGCAGAAAGCAGAAGACACACTGACATTGCAGTTCAACTTATTAAAGGCGCATACATGTTCGTAATCCTGCAGAGTCAAGACCCTCATCACATTCTTAATTTCCATTTCCTTAAAATTTTTAGGTAGCACATCAAGCTTCCTCTTGTGTTTTTAATGTAAATGTCAAAAATTAAAAAACAGATAAAGTCTGCATGTAGTTCATTGTTAGAGCACTTTCCCTGCATGTGTGAAGCAATCTGCATTTTATATTAGACACCATCAATGTTACCTGTAAAGTATGACCTGAAACCTTCTTTAATTTTGACATTGAGAACAGAACACAAACAAAATGAAATATGTAAACATTTTGCAAAATGCAAGAATTCTGATTTTCGTGGGTTAAAAGCAGTTTTTGTCTATTTTATAACATTACACAAAATTAAATTTCGGTCTTTAATACATATTGCACTTTTTATTATTAGTCCATTGGCAGTATGTGTCTAAATGTAAAGCAAATTCAAGCTATGTTTATTTGATATTGTTTAAAATAAGTATTATGGGCTGGTAGGGTGGCTCACACCTGTGATCCTAGGTACTCAGGAGGTGGAGATTGGGAGGATTGCGGTTCAAGGGCAGCCTGGGCAAACAATGAGACCCCCCCATCTCAACAAATAAGGCAGGTGTGGTTGTATGTGCCTCTGGTCCCAACTACTGGAGGCATTGATGGGAGGATTTCAGTCTAGGCTGGACCCAGACAGAAATGAGAGACCCTATCTGAAAAATAAAGCAGCAAGTGCTGGGGGGCGTGTTTTAAGTGGGAAAGCATCTGATTAAGGAAGCACGAGGCCCAGTACTGCCAAGAAAAAAAAAAGTGTATCATACACTTTCAATAACAGAGAACAATTTTTATTTAGAACCACTTACTTGTAAACAGTGTCAGCTATTTATTGTAACAATAAAATATCACCTTGAGGATTTCATAGCAGCTCCACAAGAGTATGCCATACTGTGAAAAAATGCTGGGAAGTGGCTGGCTGCTTTCATTCATCAAACATGGCCTCCTCCTGCCACCTGTGGTCAGCCCTGCTGGAGGAATAGTGATCTGTTGAACAAGTCTCAAATTAGTTCCTAGTTTAAAATGCAGTTTAAGAGCCAGGTGCTGGTGGCTCTGGCTACTTGGGAGGCTGAGATCAGAAGAGTCACTGTTCAAGGGCAGCCTGGGCAAATAGTTCACAAGACCCTGTCTTAAAAGTTCTCAACCCAAAACAGTGCTGGGAGGATGGTTCAAGTGGTAGCGCACCTACCTAGCAAGCATGAGGCCCTGTGTTTAAACCCCAGTACCACAAAAAAAGAAAAATGTAGTTTGAGAGTGCATGCTTCTGTTTGGGGCCTGGCTCTGCCATTCAGGAGATACCTAACCTTGGTAAACTTGAACTTGTGGAATGTGGAGTGACTATCTACCTGTGAGGGTCACGGGAACCTTGAAAATTGTGCCTCTTACAATTTATCCTAGCACCATGATGTGGGCTGCCCCGGTGTGCTGATCTCTATCCCTGTTAGATGACTGGGCCACCCCCGAGTAACCTGACTTCTTAGGATAGGTCGAAGCCTGCGCAAGTGGCTCACACCTGTAATCCTAGCTACTTGGGAGGCTCAGATCAGGAGGATAGCAGTTAGAGGCCAGCCCATGCAGCAATTTAGTGAGACCCCATCTGGATGTAGTGGCACATACCTGTCATTCCCCAAGCCATGAGGGAAAGTGAAGTCAGGAGAATCATGGTTGCAGACTAGTCTGGGCAAAAAAGCTTTCGAGACACCCCATCTCAATGGGAAAGCTGGATGTGGTGGCGCACTTGTCATCCCAGCTACAGTGAGAAGCATAAAATAGGAGGATCGTGGTCCAGGCCAGCCAGGCAAAAAGTGAGACCTTTGTCTCCAAAGTAACCAGAGCAAAGAGGGCTGGGGATGTGGCTCAAGCTGCAGGGCACCTGCCTAGCAAGTGCAAAGCCCTGAGTTCAAACCCCAGGACAGCCCCCCACGCCCTGCAAAAAGAAGAAAAAGAAGATGGGGCATATTAAGGACAGTTTTTTTCAGAAATATTTTTGTATATAACATTGTATTATAGTCTTACAGGGAGCTGAGATTTCTTCAAATAGTGAATTTGATGTTGCATTAATTGTTTTAAAAATGCACAAGACTTGGTGTGTTCATCCTAGTGCACCAAACCAAATGGGTTGTGCATGTGCCAGGTGCAAGACCGCAGTTGGGTGTAGCTCAGTGAGAGGACGCAGTGATAGCAGGGAGGCTGTATGTGGCCCATCAAAGATCTGAAGCAAATGCTGTGAATTTCAAAGAGTTGCAGCTCTTGTCCAGCTGTACCAGATTGTGCCGCCGAGGAGGGCGTGGCCAGGTGACAGGACCTGACTGGAAGTGGGATTTCTGCAGGTTGTCTGTCATTGCAGAGGGTGGGGAGAGTGTAATTCGGTTTGATGCAGAAGATTCCAAATGAAGATGAAGTCATTAAGACCAGGTTGTGAACACTGTTCACATCACTACAGTGACTTGGTAAGCTCCGAGGAGCCAGGCACAGCTATGAGCAGAGAGAGAATCCAGCCTCCAAGGCTCAGAACTGTGTTTTGGTGAAATTAATCCATTGTAGAGAGGAGAATTAGAAGGAAAAGTAACCAAAAGAAAAGCTAGCAGGAGTTCACTGCCAAGTCACCGAGAGGTGATATGGGTTTGAAACCTGAGTGTGGGCATGTAATACATAAGGAAGCAATGAAGAGAATAAAATTGTGGGGGGACAGAAGAACCTTGAGCCACAATACCCTGTCAGCCCTGCTGTGTAGCAGACACAGGAAAAGAGAGGTTTCCGTTTTCTTTACTCTTTTTTTTTGAGAGCTGGGCAGTACTGGGGTTTGAACTCAGGTCCTCACGTGTACTAGGCAGGTGCTCTACCACTTAAGCCATGCCCCCCAGCCGTTTTTGCTTTAATTATTTCTTTTATTTTTTTTTAAATACTAGGGTTTGAACTCAGGGCTTCAGTTTTGCTAGGAGGCACTCTACCACTTGAACCACTCCGCCAGCCCATTTTTTGTGTTG